CAGTCATACGACGGCAACAATGGCCGCTCACTCCCGACGTCGTCTTGACATCCCAATCTAAGGCCCTCCCGACGATGGTCATAGCTGAGATACCTTCGTGATTCCAAAAATATTGCTCAACACCGCCCTTTACCACGGTGCATCTCTGACTTCAAGGGAGGGCCCATTAAAGGCCCTTGATAATCATTGCATTCAATTCAATCTATCCTTTTATGACGAGTGACTACCTACCATCAAGCCCTCTCCATTCAGGCGATCAGAAGGCCGGTTCGGTGCAGGCTGATATTAATGATACCTTCGTTTCTCCATGGTACCCTAAATTGAAGAGGCACTGAGATCATCACACATCTTCGTTGCAGATGCTTCTTACTCTCCGAAAGGCTTTGTGGAAACATAACGAGAACCCCGGTTGACCAAGGTCACCAATAGAGAATCTTTGTCTTTTTTCCCACCAAGTCCCCGAGGCTGTTCGGTCCTTTGATCACTATAAACAGGTCGCATAGGTTTTTAACTTAGGTGGCAACGCCTCATGGGTTTCCGTACGTGGGATCAAAAATCACGCTTCCGTCCCCACGGATTCGCTTCTGTGCTAAATAGGCGGCCTCTGGGTTAATAGTAGCCTCGGCTCTTCCGCCCGTCTAATTGTCCCTCCCTTCCTTCAAGCGAAATTTTTCCTTCGCAAAACATGGATATGAACGCTAGAAATCTTGGAGACCAAGAAATATACAGAGCGAGTGTTGGATCGATGATGGTTGGGTTATTACTCGTTGCATTGTAGGGGTTTCAAGTCCTTGATGATAGTTTCTCTGATTAACTCCCTCTTTTGTTTTTTCCAGTTTTGGTGGATCAGCGACTCTCCAGACTGCGTTGTATTTTGTTTCAAACTATAAGGATCATTGGGCGCACAAAATCTCCGTACGTGGGCTTTCCTCGCGTCTTGCTTGATACATATTCCATAATTAAACTTTGCCGACAGATAACTCTTCTATGGTCAGCCGAGACAAGATCGTTCCTCCTGTAGACTTCTAACGTTCATCGTCACGAATAACTAGGATATCCGCCATCGTACAACTATCATTCATTTTCCATGCAACGTATTTTTACGCAATTACGAAAGGCGTGGGTTTCACGGATCCAGCCCCATTTATCTGGAGCTTCAAGGTGGGGCTATAATCTCGTTACACCCGAGAATTTGAAATTAATGACTGGATTGTGTGATGCATTTCCTTTTCCCTTCTAGCTTCAAATATTCATGCAGGTCCGCTTTACCAGATTCTTACGTTCGGTTTCTGTCACTCACTGATCCACCAATGGTACAGACTATCGTCATGAGCGCTACGAAAGCGTCCGTTTTGTGTCCCTCGGTTTTTTTGAAGATTCCCGAGTTGCTGATATGATTATCCAGGCTTTACACAGTTCGGATTTGGAATTGTGGGTTTTCAAAAATTATCTTGGTACCTCCATGATTGTTGATCGTTTGTTTCCCATTCCAGTGCAAAAAGATAGAAAAAAATGGATTCCTATTGTTTTGGTGAGTGATCCCGACACTGATATCAAAAAAACGTTCGTAGCAAGGCTGACGGTCTCTAGTCGGTGTTGTTGGTGATTGAATACGGTAGGTGGGAGTCCCACGCTAATGCGTCATTGGTGATGCTGATGGATCTCTCATCTTCGTCTACCACAGGCCTAGGAACCTGTACGCCCTCATTATACCCTCGACTTCAGTTCAAAACTCCCTAATTTCTTCTTAAAACCACCAGTATTTGCGGTTGAAGTGTAAGTGGCCCTTCGCAAGTGTTCAAATGAACATGAGACTCAACGATTCTGAAACAGTACAATGTTATCGGCATTAAGAGACCTTCGGTTCGTTCACTTCAAGGTAAACGGTTCCTCGGTTTTTTTTTATTCTTGAGGTTCTTATCATCATGTATCATGATGGGATTCTTAGTATTCCGTGTTTTTGGCGATGTGCTCCAATACTCTCACCGACTTTCTCGTTGCTGCCGCACTGATCTATACAATTGTCATTTCACGGCCAAGCCTTGGATGGTAGGATGACCTACCATTGGTTGGAGACTGCTGACAGACTTTCCAAATCCAGGACAACTTCCAGTCATACCATGCTCATTGCGTATGCTATGAACACGGGAACTATTACTGGGTGAGTAGTTATCCATATTCTATTTGTGTTTTTCCGAGGGGGCGCCTAATGTACACACCAGCATAGCCTCTTTGATAGTTCTAATTGCGGTATGTCTCCCCCTCGCTTCTACAGCGAAATGTCTGCTCTGGGCTAAAACCACGTTTCTAGTTCATCATTGGAGGAGTTACCGAGCCATTGTACATAGTATCCGAGATGGTACTACCCCAACGTGCGTTGTTTTTCAGAAAAGAGCTTGGAGAAGACCTTATCTGACTTTTCCCGCTTGACACAAAGTCTACATCAACTGTTTCTTATCGATGTGAGTCAATTTTGTTGTCATTTATACTCATGCTCTATGTATCTCATCGGGGTTGGGACGGATCAGGATCAACGCCAGTTTCTACTTTCAAACCAAAAGCAGCCTCGACATCGCCATCTCCTACCGATCCCGACGACTCTCCAACTCTCACGTTCTCAATCTATCACGGATGCCGGGAAACCATAACGACCCTGAACGTCTCATGCATCATCGGAACTCTTCTGGTTCATCAGAAGGCGATTGTGGTTTCGGTAATTTGACGCTGGTGAAAAGTCCGGGAACGATAAACGAGGTCGGGCTACCTTTGTTCGAGAGGAATGGTGATAAGATCCCCGAGGTAGTTTTTCCTTTTTTTTTTTCTTGGTGGGAAAGAACAGAACGATGACACTGCTTTGCTTTTCATTCAACAAAAAAGGTTCCACGCAAAAAGCTCCCTGTTGAAATACAGATAGAAACCACAAAAACGGAGTATAGCATCGATCGACGGATGTTGCATGATACGGGATATCAGACGGCTCGTATCGAGACGGGAAACCACCCGACATCTTAACTATTAATTTATTGCACTCGCACATATGTATTCAACCTCACATCTATTTTCCGGATTTTCGTCTTATTTCAAAAAAAAATCAACCCATGTACGCAAAATTCACTACTCGAGTATGTACGCTAGACACAGTGTAACCGCGTACGTTCTCTGAAGTTAGCAATTCAGCATTTACTTGAGGAATCCATGCAAGCGTAAAAACGTCTACCCCCATCTTCATCTCGAAGCTCTTTTGTTTCAATCGCAGTTTCCAAAAGAGTCGCCACAGAAGACTTGCACAAAGACGCTTCTTAGAGGTGTTGCATGATGAGGTGATGAAACTCCATCAGTGATCTTTACCAACCCTCGACTTTTGATCATCTCGCGCAAAACGCATCAGTCTTTCCGATCTGATACCTCAATGAACAGCCTCAGGTGGGCCAAGTTGGGCAGGAACCCCCCGGCCTCCTCCCCCCTTCTCCGGCGAGTCAGGTTTACCACCGTCGAGCGTGATATTAATCGGCTTTCCCTCTTCATCTTTCGGAGGCCAACACAGTCCATTAACAATCCAAGTCTGAAAAGATCTCGACGATTTCGATCCGGAAGAACCAACTCCAAGGTGCGTTAGGGTACTGGGAATAATGCGAAGAAGACGATCTTTCGTCTCCTCAAAGTCACCACCGCGGATTGTGAAATGACGAAGAGCCGTCGTCCGGGGTAAAGAAGAATTCCAATCCGTCTACGAGAGGGGTTGCGTCGTCAACCCAGGATGCGAGGATGATGGAGAGTGAAGTCAAGAAAGGTGTACTTATGTGCCTTAAGAAACAAGATATGAGAACGATGCGCATATGTTGTATCGATGAGTGCGGTTTTTCAAATACGGTGTGTAAGGAAAGAGAGAGAAGGGAGGGTAGAGATACGGGGATTTCAGATTCGACTTGTGGTTCAGCGGCCAGATGGGCTTCCGGCCATCCCGTTTCTACGATGAAAAGGGTGGCAGAAGTGAGTTTCGGGAAGGAACTGAGGAAGGACATTGTAAGCTGGAGACGTGACCAGACGAAGGGTCAAGCTGGTTATAGATTTCCAAGCACCTGGATATTTCTGTCTGAGACACATATAATCGTGCATCATGACAGGGCGTGCATCGGACTCGTCCCAAAGAATCAAGGTATGAAGGAGACAATTCTGAATCCGTGATTCTGCATGGCGTACGAGTTTGCCAGCCTCTGACCATGGGTCGGATAGCGTGCTGAATGGAGTCGAAAAGAACTTTAAAGCACCGACGTTCCTAGGCTGCTTTTTTGTCCCGAAAAGAGTGACGAAGAAATCAGAGGAAGGAGACGAAGAGGTAGGTCAAACTCGTAGAACAATGCTGTATTTCTAGACCGTTCCAGGTGTGTTTTGAGCCTTTCAAGGGAAATAGGATATCGCTTTGGGTCAAATTCCCTCTCGATGACGATAGTCGCCCAAATGTAAGGATTGTCCAACGCCACTGAACGCCAAAAGGCGCAAACACTGCTTAGCGACGACGCATGAGATTGTGAGTACTCTGGCGGCCCAAATCGATTCTTCTCGACTACAAGGGTAAAGATAGACGATAATATTTCTGGCGAAAAGATGGAACTGTAGCGTTGAGAGGTTTCTTGTAGTAACAAGATACGGGCAGTGGATTCTTCGATTATTCTTTTATTGCGTTCAATTTCGATTTGAGTTTCTTCTAGTAAAATCTGGATTGCAGATATGTCGTTGGGAGAAGGAATTTGCTGAAAACGGAGGAAGTCTTGAATACGGGAAGGTGTATTCTGGATCGCTTGCTTCGCGCTCTGGATCGCCGGATCATGCATTCTACTCCCAAAGTTCAGAGGAATTAGTAAAGTATAGGCGGAAAGCTCACTGGTACTGAATCTGGGCGAGCTTTTCCGTATTTGAGGTTGACTGAGCTCGATGAAAAAAAATCGAGGCAGGAGGAGGGGGGTCGCCTGTATAAAAAAAACATGTTTGGATTTGGGCAGTGACCCCTACCCGGATTGAACGGATGACCTTCTGGAAGCCACAACTGGAATCAGACGCTCTACCGCTGAGCTAAGGGATCAGACATTGCAGACCACTCAATTATGCGTCGTAAAGGGAGCCACCCACAGTACGAAAGCTAACAGTCAACAGCAAGAAGTTCCATCGAGCTTAACCAGCAGTGGACGTTCAACTAGTATACATCAGGCGTATAAACGAGATACAGAAGATGATGTTTGACTAGTAGTACGGGTGTCAGACTGGAATTTGAAAGTGCGGAAAAGGGGGCTCTGTTGCGTGTAAAGCATAGTCAAAGTAAAACTGCCTCGCGTGCGGAACTGAAAGCAACGCCTAGACGAGTCGAAGAACCAATCAAAACAACCCCCATCTCGACGCAAAAAGCTGGAGCAGACTCTCGTAAAAATCAAACCCGAGTCGAAATTGACAAGAAAACACGGAAGCCGGCGACCAGAGGGTACCGCACGACGTGGTGACAGTCCATAGAAATGCATCAACAGTGCACCGAGTAACCAACGGCAGTAACAGGTACATCCGTATGTGCTATGTGCGTTTATGCGCTGCCCGCATGAAGATGATGATGAGCACCGAGAGCCGCGCGATTGCCACGGCAGACAATGAAAGAGGAGGTCATGATAGGGTGATAGCGGGAGGTGATGGTCATGAAGAAGCATAGGGGAAGCGCCAACACCTCCGCCGTAGGGAAAAAGGAACCGTAGTGATAGGTACCGGTAAGGCGTTGTATGAAGGGGCTCAAGTCCTCATTCGGAGGTTTTGCGCTTTCTACCCATGACAATTTCGGATACGAAGTTGTGGAAGAGAGCTTGAGAGCTCTAGAGCGGTAGGAACATTGGTTAGCATTGGACCGTGAGGCACTAGATAAGTGAGAAACGCTGGGGGAGCCCCAAGAAACCAAAACACCAAAACAAGGGGCGTGAGGGAAGACGAAATGTCACCGGCGTCCCTCTGCCAACCAAATAGCGGGAAAAATATATTATAGATGACATGAAAGGAACATCTCCCACCTCGAAAATTGACCGAGCCTGCCCAACATCCGCTTCTCCCTTTCTAGCCCTCAAGCCCGAGCTCCATCCCCAAGCTTCCAAACCTGCCCACTCAAAGAAACCGTCACCGGTGGTGGAACGTGCTCGAACGAATCTTCGAGCTTAGAGCTACATCCGAATACCAAGGTGGATGGAGTATCGAATACTGCCATCTCGGCGGTTAGTTGCTACACGTGGACCTGACAAAACTGTCGAAGAGGATGGTCTTGTCTCTGTCTTGCGTGCTGTTTAGGGACAAAAGTGAAATTAGTATTAGACGGTAGATAGACGCAGACACCAAGAAAAAGAACGAGAACGGGGAAATCGTGAGCTGCAAGACCAAAGAGGCCAGAGATCTACTACCTCACCTTTCGAGCGGAATACCTCAACGTCAACTGCCACCCAGCGTATTCCCCCTCTGTCGCTTCCAGGCCACACCCTCAACGGGTAGTTACAGTCCCCTCGTTGCGAATGACCCGTGTTTTGCTGAAACAGGATGATGACAGCATCATCTGCTGACTGCCAATGGCGACGACCAAGAGTAGTGAAAAATAAAAAATCAGATTTCAGGAAGCAACGACCAAGAGATCTCAACACGTACCGCTAGTCGCTGAGTCTTTTTGTATCCATCGCTGTTTGTCCCGAATCTTTCAAGACGTAAAACCGAGCTGGCGAATAATGTTCTGTGTAGCCGTACTGAAATATATGCGCTCAATTGGGTGTAGACGCTTAGATTGTAAAGTTAAAGAGAGAGACGACATCGTTTCCGAGAGGTAAAAGGCTCAAAAAGTCGATCAGACATGGAAAGTGGTGACTATGCCTGTGACTGTGACGCGGTTTCTTGACCCCGGAATTAGGGAGTCCGGGCGGACCACGGATCACGTCCTTGGTGCCCGTGAACTGAATCTAGTAGCTTTCACCTCCATCTCCCGCTTTTTCTTTCTCAAGCAGGTGTGAGATCTATGGCGAGATTATTCTTTCACACCTGCCAAACTCTCTTTCAAGACTGAATATGGTTCCACCTAGCACCCTCGAGAAAAGGTCGGTATCGCGGATATCTCAACAACGACAATTTCCGGGGAAGAGCAGCCTTTACAAATGTAGGTATTACCTTGTCAAATGGCCTCGAGAGACCGCCAGTTCAATAAAACGTCTAGCTCAAGTGGTGAGTTCTGCAGCTGTAGCTCTCATATTTTCACCAGGCAGTCAAAGAGGGGTTTTCGCGAGCGGACAGAGCGACTCAGATACTGCTGGAAAGGAAAAATCGGGAAAATCGACTAAACATCGACTGGCTCATGACAGACAATGGAAAATATGGGAAAAAGGCACTGCCTAGATCCGTTGTTAAGGAGACATGGAAAGGCATGCTGATAGACGACCTCCGCACGGTAACGGCTGGGGTTTTAGTGGGTATGGTATAACATTGAGGACACCCGGAGCTGCTTCTGCATGCTGTCCGAATCCGAATGGTGCTGAGATATCTATCCGAGTCCCACACTTGGCACGTAACAGCGTTTCTCCAGGTGGTTCCAAGGTTTTGCGAGGTTCAAACCCCTTGCACCCTAGCGGAGAGCATGAGCACCGACCGTAAGTCGGCTCAGCTACCTGCAGCGGGAAGAGTCTACGTGTTTGCGGCCCTCGTCAGTTGACAAACGCTCCACAAAAAAAAAAAGGAAATTAACCAGAGTCGCTGTCATGAGTAAGTCTACATGCTGCAGGTCGAGGCGAGAGAGCAAATAGGACCTGGACTCGGAAATCGTGCGTCTTTCGCTTCCTAATGGCCCTGGTACTTCTGTTTTGACTACAGATGCCCCAGTCATTTTTCGTTGACCTGTCAGGTATATTCTTGGCGGGGTCTCAAGCCAACGTTCCCCATTTTTCTTCGTTCGTGAATGAAGCCCAATCCTCGTCAACCTCTGTTCATTCGCGTTGTTAAATTCACCTCAGCGCAGACGTTTCTTTCTCAAAATACCCTTGGTTCTCTACTGTCACACCAGGTTTCTTCGTTCGATGAAAGTAAAAACAGTTCTATCTCGATCGTGAGGTGTTTTTTTTTGCTCTTCATATCCTACCGCTACGAGGGTAATTTTACTCTTTGTACTTGATAGCTAATCCAGCTATTTCACAAAATGTCTGTTAGTTGATTTTTTTGCAGACTTACAGACGCCGAATAAGTCGGACGAGAAACAGGAAAAGCTACCTCTGCTTTCCCCTCGCCTGTCACATCGTGGAATCGACAAAACAACCTCTTTAACCCACTAGATCCCATTCCCAGCATCAGCCCTGCACGTTCGCGCCGGCCCATGTGACGGAGAACCATATTGTTGACCCCGCAACTCACACGGTAATTTTGGGACGCATATCATTGATCGAAGACAAAATTGAAGGTTCGTAGCCTGAGTCTCTTCTGCAGGTGATCATAATTGGTGGATTGCTTTCAAGACAAGGGCAAGATCATTGACGTGCAAACCTCAAGATCCATCACCGCCCTGGATTATGCAGAAAGCAGAGTTTGCAAAAGTGTTATCCCATTGGACATCCCCAACTGAGCGATTTCCGCGTCTTTGACGTATACTCCTTTCTCCCTTTGACCCACTCAGTTTTTTTTTCATCTCGTCATCGGCAATCATCAGTGAACCTTCTGAATCCACATCCCACCCACTTGTCTGGGACATGAACTTGAGCCGGAACCCTTTCCCGGATGAAATGCCTTCTCCATTTCCCGACAGGCTTTTCCGTCGCTTTCCACCCCTTTTGCCGACGGGTTCGCTAATCAGCCCGATGAAATCGTTTGGTTATCCCTGGGCCTGACTCACTGCCCTCTCTATCCCGTCGTTCGGAAATCGCCCAACAATTGACGGTTCCTCGCACATTGTTATTGAACGCGAACTCATGCTAGGGCTTGAAAAACGTCTACCCCCTCGATCTATCGTTTACCTGTTTACCACAAACGTCTTTACTATTCTTATCCCCTATAAACGTGTGCTTGAGATCTAAGTCCTGATTTCAGCAAGCACAAAAAATAAAAATAAAAAAACAAAAACTCGCTTCAGAATTTCTTCGTCAGGGACGGAAGGCACCGAATGTTCGCGTGGGTATTGGACGGAACTTCTTTTTTTTTGCATCAGACGAAAGCAAAAATGAAATGCGCGAGAAGCCCTTTGGGCGGGTTCCTCAATTCACTTATGCTGGTTCTTTTTTTGTTCGAGGTAACCTTTTGATTCATTTGGTCCCTTGGGCGATATTAGAGAATTCTTTTCATTCCCCTGGTGGCTCTCCAACCCACGGCGGGGAGAATGAGCGGGAAGATAGATCCTGTAGAAGCGGTGGTCGGTCTGAGGGAGAATCTGGAGAGCAAAGCAGTAAAATCGACGGACCCTCAGCTTTTCACCCCCCCGAGGATTTTACCAGATGTTTGTGTGGGATCGACAGATGGGGTTGAAGGATTGGCAGGGGTGTTGCTTTACAGCAAACCGATTCACTTGGAGGTAGACCCGTAGGCACCAATCTTTCCCATGTCCATGTCCGGACACTAAGCGCAAAAAGGCCCTCTCCAACTCCGAAAAGTTACTTGATATAGGACTCGCTTGTGGGAAATATCATCTCCTTACTGGGAAATTTCTTCATCGACGTCGTTGGCGATATTGGCCAAGGCCACGACTCGAGAAAGTCTATCAGTATGGCTTCGTTTACGTTTCGAAGCTTCCTTCAATAAACCTTCTCACTCGTTCACCAGAACCAGTGGAATTGGCCGCTTTACTCGGTTTCAACTTGATGGCGGTTTCCCGCCCTCCCGTATCTGTATCAGGCAACAGTGAACCTCATACCAATGACCAGTTGTCGCGAACTTAACCCTCGGCAAGGCTGGTCATGCGCTGGCAAGAACTCAATATCTACCGCTTCATGGCTCCATGCTCGGTTGTTTTTTTTTTTGGCGCGTTGACCCACGTGTGGATTCCTCGAGTGGCTTCTCCCTAAATTTTCTTCCGCTCAGGAACTTCGCGTGTTTTGTTTTTTTCGG